TACATAAATCAAAAGTCAGTTGCTACAACTCAATTATACAGCTATTGTCAGAGTGCTAATTACAGGCTGATTGTATGTAAGACTAGTGCAAGTTTTATGTTTTTTTCTCCTGAAAGGAAGTGTCATTAATGTCAACATCCTAAGGTCTCATCCTTAACAGACCAATGACTCACCTATATTTAGTCAGACTAAAAGCTGAGGCTCCTTTCTTCCTTCTCTCTCACCACACCCCACCAAGACTCCCGGAACAAAAGGAGCCATTCCCATTTATTTTATACAGGATTAAAATACGTTTATCAAAAGTGTCACATACTAACATACTCCCTCATATTAATATTCAAACATAAAACAGATGGAACATCCATTTGGTTTTAGCTTAGCTGCATAGTAAAAGCTCAAAATACTTGCCAGGTACTAACCATGAAAAAGCTTTTCTGGATCTAAACAAGGTGGGACTAGGACAAAAGTAACCACCATCGTAGCTACTGCTATTTTCCATTTACAGCAGCCATTGTGGCAGAAAGGAATAGAAAAAGCATGCATGTGCCTTTACTATCGTCCCTCCTCTGACAGCAAGCTACAAGGGGTGGTCAAGTAGCATAGCAGCTTTATACTCAAGATTTATCAGCTGGTCAAGGGCTGTACAGCAAGAGTGAAGCAAAGTAACTGGAACGAATGACCTGGCCCCATTTGCAAGAAGAGCCAGTTATGCACATACAGTTTATTTACAGAAACTGTGCGTATTATTCATCTTTAAGTGTTCAGAGCAGTAGCCATTTTCTAGCCATATGAACAGACACTATGATGCTGTAGACACATGGATCTGTTCCAGGACTTTGGCCCTGAAACTGTTTTCACTGCATAAGTTATGTTTCCAGACCTCAGTGTGCATCTGTGGGCGCAGGGGGTGGTGGGGGGAGGAAGGGGGAGAAGAGACCTGGAACAAGCAAGCTGAATAACTGATGCAATATTGTTTTCTTGAGTGTGCAGACAGCCTCCAGCATCACCTATGAGAAATGTGGACTGCTTTGTAAATCTCAGACCTAATCCACATTATACGGCCATATGCAAAGCTCATCTGGCAGCAGAACCCTCCTTTCTGCTGAGGAGAGGAAGGCTCTACCATCATCCTGAGGCACGCAAAGACTGGCAATGGTTTTGTGAGGTTTTAACCCTAAAAATCAAAAGATAACAGTTACAACTGTGACATTACCCTGTCACTGCTGCTTCTTTTAAACAGAATTACCTAGTCTATCTGCTTTCTCCAGAATCCTAAACAGTATCCCATCCTTATTCTGATACCAGAATCCATTGGCACCTCTTCCCTTCAGCTGCCAAAACCTCCAGCTTCCTGTCTGACTATTTCTCTCCACTTTGGAAGCAGCTAGCAGTGTTAGCCTCAAGTCAGAAGGCAGGGCAGGGAGACTGCTTTTGAGACTGCTTCAAGGGCGCATAAGCTGTCATAAAAAATTGCATACTTTATCAAGGTGCTACCCTGCCCGGTTGTTGTCTTCTATAGTGCAAGTATGCCTCATAAATAAAAAAGATTTATACAAAAGACAAAATAAAGGGGACGTAAAACAATTGAGGTTTGCTTTATTGAGTGCATTTGTCTTTGTATTTTTTTCAGTTCATCTGACACCACCATAGAAGCCAGGGGTCCTGTGGCAAGGGCTACGGAGAACATAGGACTTTTATAGGAAGTTTAAGTTGAAGGCCACTGACAAGACTGTTAAAGTAGAATGAATAAAGCCAGGGTTAAATAAGTTACAGTCTCTTGCAAGATATTTGAAATCCCCAAGCAAGGACTACAGCAACTTACAGTAACAATTAAAATTAGAGAATACATTTTTTATTCTTTATTTACCGTATCTTAGGATATTTTTCCTGGAATGTACAGAACCACAGTTGAAGATTATTATAATGGTCTCGACTATAAGTAATAACATGTAATTTTCTTTTTGCTATACGATGCACATGCAAGTTCTATAACTCCCCCCTCACAGCCTATTTTTCCTAACTTAGACATTTTCAAGCTTTTAAAGTAAAACAAAAATATTCTTTATCAGAGGTTCTGGAAGCAAGGCCAAAAATGGATGGTTTTTCAAGTGAAACTCCCTCCCACACACCTATCCACTGTTCAACTTCATGGAGCTGAAACCTTATGACTGACACCCTGGACACAGCTACAAATAATTCCTAGAGTATCACAGGCCATGAAATAAACAAGGCCTGGGAATGGTGCTATGCAGCTTAGGAAGTCTTCCAGGCTTCCTGGGCTACACATGCACATTTCTTAACCAAGAAGGACAATAAGCATCTCTTTCAGAAACAAGTGTCAATCAACACTTCACAAAAAAAAACAACAGACCATAAACCGCCAATTGTTAAAAAAGGAACTGGCTAACATGCAACTAAAATGGGCAATTATTTAAGTCTACATAACTACACTGCCCTGCTCAACACAGACCAGTTCTAAACCAAGCTTTCCTCAGTAACAGATTAAGAGAAAATTAGCCATTCATCTAGTGTTCATCTAAATTAGCTTAAGAAGATACTAGGTTCCTCACAGTCAAGCTAACAAAATAGAGAATTTGTCCTTTAAAGAGGCAATCGCAGCTCAGTTTGAATGAAGTGGAAGAACTGTTCCACCGTGGATTAGAAACCGATTTAAAAGAGTACTAGCGCAAAAAGGAACTAATTTTTGGCACAGAATGCCCAATTGTTAAAACACTGGTACAAAACCAATGCAAGGAGCACAGCAAATGAGTTGTACCATCATCCCAGGCAGACAAATGACCAGCTGTGTCCAAGTAGCTACTTGCACTAGGCACTTCAGCACCTTGCTATCAGATGGTGGTTTTCATTGTGCAGTTACCTACACCAGGATAAAAGCAGTCACATAAAGCCTACACAGGTCTGATATACACACCCATGGCATTACACCTCTGATTTTTCCTGGATCACCACCAGATTCTGTTAAGTGTACACATCAACACAGAACCATGGGTTGTATAGTCATGTCTATAAGGAGCAGATGCACATCAGGGGTAGGCAACGCCCAGCACAGGTGTCAAAGCATGGCATCTGAAGGCATTTTGCTTTGCACATGCACCTCAGGGCAGATGGCAAAGGAGGGGCTGGGTGGTGCTCCCCCACCATCCTCCCCTGGCACACCAAAATCTTACATGTGGAGCTTTGCAGGTGTTTTTGGCACTCTGCCCAAAAATATTGCTGACCCCTGCTATACACCATGGGTGGATGGAGAATTTTGAGACAGGTGGGGGCAGATGGTGAGGCACATCATCACATAAAACACCTATTTTTCTCAAATTAAAAATAAACTAGAAGCAGGAATGCACCGATAAAGATTTTTTGGGCTAATACCGATGGCTGATCAGTAACAAGCCGTATCAGCCGATACCCATCTGATTGCCGATATGCAGCCCAGCAGCTTGGAGAGCAGCATCCAGCTGCTAAGTCTGTTTGGGG